CTTATTTATCATTAGCAAAGGTTCTTAATTTATGCCTTTTGGTTAGCGGTTGTTTTGCATTCATATTTGGGTGGTAAGAGCAACGATCGTGGGTTTCTCTGCCATGCTCTTTCCCCACAGGAGCTCTAGGTGAGCCTGGCACTCTCATTTTATGTTAAATGGTCGTTAATGTTTTTGTTGTTCTTTATATTTGTCACATGTTTAATTTGAAGACTATTGTAATAAAGTTAGGTATATTTACTCTGCTTTTGTTTTATATAATTAAACCGTACAAAAATACAAATACAAAAAAAGTTAGTAGCCAGCGCGTTTCGGTCAATTAAAAAAATAGATACACACAACGTAGGTATTCCTTATGACGATCACATATTTTTGGCCACAACTACGTTTATTTGTTTTTTGTTTTATCGAACTTGGGGTTGTTATACTACAATTCTGTACAATATTCTAATGGCTGTATCTCCATCATTAGAGATAAATCCATGAAACTATATCATTACAATTCTAAAAAAGCGTTGTATTTCATTCACAAAATTAAGAACACAATATAAAAAATAAATGTCATTAAAATCTTCTAGATGCATGTTACAACTTTATTATTTACTTATTTTTTTCTTTTAAATTTAAAAATAAGAAAATTAAACTGGACTTGCTCTTACAACCAATAATTCGATACATGTTTTAAACCTTCAGTGTTGATTTGGCATTTATTTATTTGTCTTGAGAAGACTGCTATATGTATTGCTACAAAAAAGGTACAATTTATTCACCCATACAAGAAGTGCTCATTAGCATAATTTGGGAATATGACGGCCTCGAACTATAGTATTACATCTCCCACGTAACGAACAGACGTTGCCCAACAATTAATAATTAATAAAATCCAATGCACGAACAAACAGTTCTTGTTATTGTCCTTCGACAGCTTCAGGTATTAGGATGTTTTGGTTGTAGGACCGGTGAAAGTTTCAAATTTGTTCCGGAGTAGGGACCACGCCTGTACATATTTTGAAAATATATAAATATCGTCGTTTGGTACGAGCACTCATCAAGTTGTCAAATAAACAACAGATATGGTATTCAAAGTAAGTATCAGTGCAGTGGTAGTGTTAGATGTGTGAAAAAATAATCCTGTTTTTTGGAATTGACACAATAGTTTATTTTGGTGCTATAGTTTTATTACTTTTCGAAAATTTTAATTTAAAAGTTCTTCATTAGAAAGTATTTTTTGGTTGCTACGTTCTTAAAAATAAGGAAGGAAAAACATCTAAATTTATTGGGAGACTGAAAATAATGTGTTGTTTTGAGGACTGTCCCCCGTAACTATCTTTGATTATTTAACGACCTTTTTCTAATCAACTGAACTGTTGACTCGGACAACTGCGACCATATTTTCGGTGCAAAAATTGCAAAAATAGAGCAAGTAGAGATCTTTAGGGAAAAAACCTATACAGGGTGTTTCTTAATAACGTGCTAATATTTAAGGAGGTTATTCTTGGGTCCTTTTTAAGAAAAAAACTTCATATGAACATATGTCCTAAAAGTCTTAACTTTGGAACTACAGGGTGCTAAAGTTTTATTAAAAAACCTTTTTTTATGATAACTTTGGTATTACCTACCCTAGATATTTTTTCAAATTTGATACACGCCTGCTATTCATCGAGATGCATTTTCTGATGTACAAACAATTTTATTATTTTTGCCAGTGGCGTCTGTACAGGTTTTGTATTGAATATTTTTGAAGAAATATATGCTACGCCACTGCTTTTTCTTAAAGTAAAAATCAATTTTGAAATCCTCATTCCTTTCTGAGCAAATGTGATGTCTTGAATTTTTTTCGTTTGACGTACGGTTTTCGCATGAAAAATAAAATTCATTCATTTGCATCTTATTTGACCACTTAGGAGAAAAAGATAAAGATTTATGTAACTTTGAACAATAATTTATTTAAGATAATAACTTTTAAACATTGAAATTATGAAATTACAGTAATCTACATCTATTTTGGAATGATAAAAGAAAATTACCCTGACATAACATATTTTTCTTCAAAAATATTCAATACAAAACCTGTACAGACGCCACTGGCAAAAATATTAAAATTGTTTGTACATCAGAAAATGCATCTCGATGAGTAGAAGGCGTGTACCAAATTTAAAAAAATATCTAGGGTTATACCAAAGTTATCAAAAAAAAATGTTTTTTCATAAAAATGTTAGCACCCTGTAGTTCAAAAGTTAAGACTTTTAGGACATATGTTCATATGAAGTTTTTTTCTTAAAATGGACCCAAGAATAACCTCCTTAAATATTAGCATGTTATTAAGAAACACCCTGTATATCAGGGTGACTAATACATCAATTTTTGTGGTAACCAGTACACATGCTTTAAATAACGATAACATACTGTTAAAAACGAACACAGTTTTTATCTAGTTCCTTGCAGTATTCTAATTATAGTTCCTAAGTATTTCAGCAATACTTAGGGATATAATTTGTAACAGTGTGGCCATTTTTTTCTTTTAATTAAAAAAAATATTGAGAATCATCAGAAAATATTTAAGCTACTGCTTAGTTAACTTAATTGCAGTTTTTTCTCAGTTGGGTCTAAGGAAATTGCGTTTCAACCACTCTGTAACAAATCATGCTTATACAGGGTGGCCCGTGATGACTCATCATGCTACAAGGGTAGTTTCCTTTGATGGAGATTTTAAATCAAGATACCTTTGTACAATTTTGCTTCGTCGGTTTTCAAAGGTAATTCTGGTTCTGTTGCTTTCGAGGTTACCTACTTAACTTATTTTTAACTTATAATATATAAGCCACCAAAAACATCAAAAATAGTCCTTGCTATTTTTTATTGGTAGATATTTTGAGAAAACGCAGATAAAAAAATGCATGCTTGACTCACATCGTTAAATATATCGCGAAAATGCGTACTTCCTGAAGAAAATGGATTTTTTAATGTAAGTTTTTAAAAATATGTTATGAATACTTAAAAAATGTTATTAACTATTGGAGCGCACTGGTGCTTTTGAATCTTTTCTTTAAAAGTTTCTTTAATAGTAGATACTTCTCTAACAGATGGATACAATTCAGTCATAACTTTGAATAATAAAATGAATGAAACATGTCTCATATATTTTCACGAGATTTGTCTAACAAAAAATTGGCCAAAATAATTAAGTTAAACAATTACAAGGGTAGCTAGCAGAACATAACAAACTATATGGAGTGTCCCGTTGTAAGTGTCATTTCTTATAATTTTTAACGTAAAAAAGGTATAAGAATATATTTTTTTCTAATATCGAAGTTGAGAAAATAATTAGGCTTCGGGTTATAAAAAGGTAAAGATAATGAAGCTTACCAGCAATTAGGCCATGCTTGGCCCTTTTTCCCTGCTAACTTACACTACCCTCCACCTTAACAATCACAAACATCCATGGTACGACAGGAAAATTCGAAAGAATTTTCCTGCCGCGTGCGGGATTCGAACCCACTACGGTTTTGCCGCACACCCCTGGCTCGCCTCTGTAGGCAAGCCTTGGCCGCTTCGGCTACCGCCGCGCCCGCTTCGGGTTATAAAGATATAGGATTAACACGGGTTCTTATAAATGTAGCACCCTATATATTTTTACATATTGGAAAAAGCTTTCTTACGATTACCTACAGCGATATAAGGTTTCATATGTTCATTTCTAATAAAAAGGAGATTATATCACTCAATATCCACATAATTTACTCTTAGATTTACAAAACGTCATATCACTTTAATCACAATCTCTGTAGTTTTTTTTACAATAAATGCTGTAAATTTTATAGGTATATGCATAAATCGAATACATATTATATAATTCTAACAAAAGTTATTACAAATTAGTTAACAATTTGTAATAAATTTTATTTTGTAAATACTCAAAAGGCAGTTTAGTCTTAAGATAGCCTACATATTATTTTTTTCACTCTTATAATCTTGAATTAACGTAAATATTTTGTTGGATTTTTGAAAGCATGGTCTTCATAATGCCTAATTTTAAACTATGACTGGTTACTTTAGATAAATATTAAATGTATTTTAAAAATAAACGAATTTATTTCATATTTGATTTAAATCCGTTTTTCGTGATATTTTCATATTCATAAGCTTGTAAAAAATTTCAAAAGAAATTTGCGAAAAAAAATTATTAAGTAAGGATTTCCTAACACTGAGATCTAGAAAAAGGTTGGGCATATATTTATAAAAGAAATCATAAATCAACATATATANCGGAGCTTTTGCCCCAGCCACCGCCTATGGTGTTCACGGAGGCATTGCCCCAGCCGTCGCTTACGGAGCCCATGCAGAACCTTCCTCCCCAGCTCACTACGACTTCGGATACGGCGTCAGCGACCCCCACACCGGCGACAACAAACACCAGCATGAGTCCAGACGTGGTGATGTCGTCCACGGTAGCTATTCTCTTCTCGAATCCGACGGTACCAAGCGTGTTGTGGAATATTCCGCTGATCCGCACAACGGGTTCAATGCCGTCGTCCACAAAGAACCTGCTGTACACGCTGCTCCAGCTCTCGCTCATTCATATGCTGCACCAGCTGTAGTAGCTCATGGTGTTGCCGCCCCATACGCTCATCATGCCCCAGCTTTCGCCCGTGGATGGTAAGCGGTGACGTAGTTGAAAACCAGATTTAAATTTAGTTGGTTGTTGTGTTTGTGAAATGTATTTATAAAATGTTCTTAGTTGCAAAATAAAACACGGTTTTATATAGAAATAAATATACTTGCCTTATTTATTGAAAATATTTTTTAACAGTTTGTATTATCAGATGTTATGTACAAGGTAATTTAAATAACATCCTAGGGGTCTTTTAATATCTCATGAGCCGCGAAATGCGCGAAAGGCGTGGCGTATCCCCATAATTCTTCTAATAAGCACGTTGTGAAAACATTGACTCAGAACTAGACCATGTGCATCATTACAAGTAGACATGAACTAAGGCGCTCGGGCATCAATAAAGTCAACTGGCGAACGTTCGTTATATATATTTTTATTGTTTAAATTAAAATAATAAAGAATAGGGCATTTTATTATGATATTTGTAATCGGATCAAAGACTTGTTTACGCTAGAGCTCGAGAGAGACTGTGAATAATAGGTGTAATGTTTTTAGGACGTAGAATAATTTAGGCGACGGTCGGAATTATGTTTCTGCGCATATGAAGGTCAAAGCTCATAAGATTTTAAAACATCTCTACCAATCATTATCTTTTTACCTTTCTATCTAATTGTAAGAAAAAAACGGTAAAGACTAAAGCTGTAGAAAATTTTGATGCGTTATTATTAGAGAAATATAAAAAACAAACTACTGATGTCTAGATCAGGATAAAGGTATCATAAAAACACTTTTTATAATAAGCTATGTATTTCTTAAGAGAGAATTTAAGAGTGTGTTCAGTAAATTTAACAGCGGTAAACATACCCATCCAATAGTTGGTTCCAAGGCAATCCTGATTATGCGCAGGATTACTGAAAATATTGTTCAAACCACAGACAATATAGCTTATCGCTCAGACCGCGCTTTAAATGCTGGGAATTGGCAACTTAAAAAGGATGCAGGGTCTTGTTAGCCGAAATCCAGCAATAAGATTTAGCGGTGGCTTTGTTGCCAAATAAATTTAATGCATTTAATTATGTAATTGAAGAGTTATATGGAACTTATATTTTGTTAAATTAAAAATTAAAACTATTAATTTACCTAATTAATTATTTATTTCAAAAAAATTAAAAAATATAAAATTTCCTTAAGAATAGTACCTTAATTTTTTATTTAATAAAATTGTTGAGGTTCCACCTAAAGGGGTGGCTGATACGAAATTTATTTAAAAATACAAGAAATCATCAATCAATGAGAGATAAGATAATGCGTTCGCTACTGCTGTTACAATTATGAGACTATTTTGTTTTTCGACAGACGGACATCGAACCTTTTTCATTCAACGCAGAACGGATAATAACAATCTGGGGGGTGAGGAGATTTTTTTAATTGTTTTCTCGATTTAACACACCGTTTCCGAGTTATACGGCCTTTTTACTATACGACGTCACACACCTCTTGTTTCCAAAATTTATTTTCGACATACGGACTTCGGACCTTTTGCATTCAACGCAGAAGAGACATACAGAACCATGGGTGTGGGGAGATTTTTTCAATTATTTTTTCGATTCAACGCACCGTTTCCGAGTTATACGGCCTTTTTACTATATGACGTCACACATCTCTAGTTTCCAATATTTATTTTCGACATAAGGACTTCGGACCTTTTGCATTCAACGCAGAACGGACAATCAGAGCTAGGCGTGTTGGGGAGATTTTTTTAATTATTTTTTCGATTCCGAGTTATAAGATCTTTTTTTACTGTATCACCTCACACACCTATTGTTTCCGAAATTTATTTTCCACATATGGACAACGGACCTTTTTCATTCAACGAACGCACATGGGATATTCAGGACCAGGGGTGTCGGGAGATTTTTTATTTTTCGATTCAACGCACCGTTTCCAAGTTATAAACACATTTTTATTCTATGTTGTCACACACCGTTGGTCCCGATTTTTTTTTTCGACATGCAGACTTCGGACGTTTTTGATATTTCTAGTTATTTCCGAGGTACAAGCAAATACTGTTTTTTTTTCTCTCATATATTGTGACACCTCGCTCTGCCTCACCCACCGAGTGCTCTACTTAGAACATACAAATTTTGATTGTCAAGAGAAATAAAGAAAATTTGTATTTAAAGTTTTTTCTATCTTTAATTATTATTAAACCTATAAGTGGATCTCAAAATACAAAAAAAAACCTGTACCTACATTCCGTGACGTACTAATAACCCACTTTCTATATTAAATAAATTTATCATCAAATATTAAAAAAAATATATTACAAGCTGTTTAAAATATCATTACGACTTTTGTTTATTTGGAAATATATTTTCTGCAGTATTTCAATCCCAAAAAATGAAAATAGTAGCTAATTAACGAAATTACGATTAAATAACCTAACTGTGAAACCGCAGCAGAATATCATATGAAACTACATAGATATTCGTTGATTCTTTAAAACATTTTTATCAATACCTACATCATACATTAAGAAAATACAGTAACGCAAAAAACAGGTATTGATAAAAAATGTGTACAAAATAATTCCGTAAGTACGCCTGGCAACATTGCCAAAGTGTTGTATATATATTGCTAGAACACGCGTAGGAATGCGGGCCGCTGAATTTGATTCTTCCTAAAATTCTGCTGGTGGTGTACGCTATCGGCAATTCGGGAATTTAAAACTGCTGACCTATTCCACTAGAGGTCTGGGACGATAGCTATTTTGTCTGTGGTTGTTCTTTTATAGTTATCTATAGGTGTTATTCATAATCCTTTATGATTTTACTATATTTGATGTAAATATACGAATAAAAGTATGAATTTGATAACCTGAGTTGACTGAACCAGTTATATTAATCATGTGTTCACCCGGTGTGGTATTAAAGCGCATGTGTAGAGACTTGTATTAGTTGTTCAGTAGGCATGTTTAGATTCATTTGCACTGTTATAATATAACAGTCTTTTAACTACCTACCTACCATAAATTTTTGTGAGTGCATTTGCTTAAATAGTTTAGCAATCGCAAGTAATATCGCTATAGTCTACAGTTTTTGATTATCGATTTGTTTCCTTATTGGAGTAGTTATAGATATTTTCCGGAAATCTGAGAATATTGCAGTGTTCAGAAATAATTCGGAAATAAGTTATTTGATCAAGGTTTAAATATATTTTTTTCTATCTGCTGTAGTGCCAGACACCTCATCGCATATACCTACGCGGACGTAATAAGTTATTAGATCGTCGTCATGTGTCGTCGGCGGGATTAATTCGAAAGTTAGCCGAGTTGCGATGCAATACGGGGCACTCTCATTGTGCCGTCGATCACAATGGAATTGTGACTTTGCATAGATATACGTTCTTCGACAATGCCGAAACCGGCTGCGAGAAATCCAATTAATCCCCGGCTGCTCCGCATACACATCAAGTTTGAAGTTATTGTGTATTCGTTGGCCCCCCCGGCCCGCGCTCCCGACGCTGCCGCCGCGACGCGCCGGGTCGAACGGATTTATTAAGATTGTACTGTACCTAATTGAATTCTATCACCTGCCCTCCTCCCGTCGCTCGTCCCTCTCAGCGGGGAGTATCACAAAAAAGCTTGTTCTTTTGGTAATACTGCTGCTGAAATGGTGAGCGAAACAAATTAAAATATATGCGATGGGAAAAATTGGTCCTATTTAATTTAGTATAATTTTTTTAATTTTCTTTCCTACTAGTTTCGACTATCATTCCACCTTCAGGGAAAAAGAGACTACTTAAAATATAGGCACACCGTGTCCACCTAGTGCGCGTAAGTCCAATATTTAGGTTAATAAAAGATATAACTTTTTTTTCTACAGAGTTGCCTTCTTTCCCGAGCTGCACAAAATGAAAATAGATTTGCATATACAGGGTGTTCACTTTTCCTGGGCAGGTACCAACTTAATTTTTTTTAATGGTGCGCAAACCGTATTTATCTTATCAACTTCCACCTCACCTGTTACATGAGTGTTGCACAATAATAAAAAAGTAATATTAACGGTCGGTAGAAGGAATCACAAAAAAACAGCACTTAGGTAGGAAATTCTGGAAGGAAGCCTAAATACTTGAATATGGAGAGTTGAATTGCGAATAGTGTCGAGATCGGTAGTAAGACGATCGGCGGGCAGTGTGTCAAAGTAGTGAAAAGTTAATTATTTAAAGTGTTATTAGTTAGCAGGTAATATTCTTTAAGTACTTTATTGTTAATTGTTCTATGTGATCTTATGATTGTGATGTTTATAGATGTTTCATGATAATAATTCTTTGTATGTTTAGCTTCCATTGCTTTATGCTCAAGGGCATATATTTTTCTAAGGTAAAATTGTTATAATTATTATTAACGATTGCTCATTATTTATTTCATGTTAAAATAT